GATCTTCATATGTAGTCATCCTAGGCTTGACAAGAACTCCATGACTTATGATTTTCTATGGGCATTTTATTTGATAACCAATAAGTGTCCAAAAGTCGCAGTCCTTCTTGTATATCCGGTGCGACGTAGCAGAAACTTGAACAGGTATTTTCGCAGATATACTGCCATATGCCATAAAAGTTGGAAATAGGCTGAATTTGGGCTAAAGTAGGTTGTACCAACCCTCATATATTGCACTATTTTACAGAACTGCAAAGGATTTTGAAGCGCACTAGTCCGAATCTGAATATGTTTACTCAGTGGTCTCGCTCAATATTTGGAAAACAGATTTGTGTCTTTTTTTACCACACAGTGTTATGATCACCTGCTTCAAAGCCGTGGATGTTTAAATGGAAAAACAAGGCCCAGCCTCTGAGAACGAAGTAGGTGGTGGCGCCAAACTTAACAAAAAAGATGAATGAGGTCAACTGGTGTGGCATGAACAGCGTACTGGTCGCTCAAGGCTTGACTTCGTATTAGGTTAGGCCTGTGATCTGCGACTATCTTTATTCAGACAAAGCCTCAAATATACTTCACGCTAAACGGCCTAGGCCTAGCTCACATAGGGTTTGAGCCAGTGGTTTAACCGGTGTAAATTCTGTACGCTTCAAGCGTTTAGTTCTCCCCAACTAAGTTGTTGACCATAATCTTTGTGCCCTTCACACTGTTGACCTTGTATGTACCCTATTTTTTGGCCTCCTGTCTTGTGCCATCGGCTCTCAATAGACCTGAATATAATAATTTGCTCCGCACGCAGGTTTTATGAAACTGGATGTTCCTCGCACGAAAATTTATTGAGATGATGCGGTAGGTGGACCAAAAATCTCAGTGTCCCGCAATACAGCATCACAGTACACCAGTAGCATTGTTCACACAACACTCAAGTAGCCCGATGGCTAAGATGGAGCATAACCAAATATGCGCTAGCTAATCTGGCTGTGCCATTTACACGTCCCCGTTACCAGCACCTACCTAAATAAGACCAGTCGCAGCTGCGCTCTTGGATAAATTGACTCAACCAGCTCGGAATACAATTAGGCTTCTGGGGGAACATCCGAACTCCCTGATTTACTGGTTGTTCAGATTTCATACTCACCACAGATATCGTTTGATCGGTCAAAGTGGTTGCCGTGGGTGCAGCCAGCCAAATGTCACTTGCACGTTCCGCTGTCACATCGCATCTACTAAAAGTAAATGAATTTCCACATACTGAATAGCGGTCTTTCATGATATAATGGCCCAATGCGATGCTGATTACTGTGGCTCATTACCACTGGCTCACTTCTTGCTGCTGCGCTTTTACTGAGGAATTGCCAGAGTAAACACGCCTCGTAGGGTTCGGTTGGATCGGTTTTTCAAAATAAGACATCTGGCACTCAGAATCCCTGGTATAATTTGTGCAGCTTGTCGAAGTACTCACATGGTTTTCTAGTATACTTGTCAATCGCGATCACCCGAAACATTCCGCTACAGACTATTTGGTTTAGAATCCTAGAATTTAACACAATCATCATTACATACTGCAATGCCAAAAGAGTCCTAGCCCTTAAATTGCGTTGCTATTTTCGGCAGACCAAGTAGACACCAAGAGCGATACATGTTTATTAGGGCATATGTAACGACAACAAAATTTCCCTTGAATTTGTGACTTTCCAAGAGAACCGCCCGAGCGACCTGTCTTTTCATACATATTTACTTACTCATGTAGGAAACCTCGTTACGGTACAGAATTCTTCTTCTTTCTGATTTTCCTCACAACTCCACTAAACCAGTCTCTGCCATCCTCTCCATTAGCAAGTTGCTACAATCGCCTGTCATCCAAAACGCGAATAAAGATTTATTTGCGTGACCAAGTTTTACTCAGTTATATTTAGGAAAATTCGGTTGTCTTATCTTTTACTATTTTTCCTCTGGAGAGTTTTCATGACATTTTAGTTATCGATACGGCACCCCACGTTTTGGGCAAAAATAATAGGATTTTATGCGTTAACAACAATAAAAAACGCATGAATTTCAGACCTGCGCTCTTCACCCTCTAATTATCATTTACGAAGAGGTCGCTTAAGGTGTGCTCTGTGTCTGCCCCGATCTGTACTAAGTGATATTTCCGACCACATATCTTATTTTTCTTGACCCTGCTGAATGGCTGATAGAACGAATTGCGGTACATATTCCTGTTCCTTTGACTGCGTCGTCTATAGACAAAAATAGATCTATGATTAAGCGTTTACCTTGGTTTCCCATATATGTTGCTGGCTATTGGAGGGCAACTTCTCCGTCAGCTGTATCTAAACAACTGCTCTTTTTTGCTTGGCTGGCTAACTGGCTACTTTTCCAGTCAGTTCCGCCGCACGAAAGTGAAACAGCACTTCTCTTTGCCCTTTCCATGTGCCGCTGAAGTTATTCAAGATGATTTTTTCCCATTTCTTTTACCCGTTGTACGGAGGGTGGTTGAAAGTTTAGCCCCACTGAAGGGTTCAAATATGCCTCCGGAAAATTTTCGTTCCGTTATCTATTTCCCACGCAGCACTGGTCGTTCCATCGATCTCGCATACAAACCTGCAACTTGTCTCATCTAAATGTACAAAATTATCATTTCAAAACTTGCCTTATTCTTGAGCCTTGTACGGACGAATTCACTGAGCACTTCCTTAGCTGATTCTATGTACTTCCTGGCTCCAGCTGTCTCGAATGCCTAGGAATAGGTTTTTTTCTACCTTAGTTGGGATTAATGACCTTAAAACCATCCACGCAATGCTGATAATCGGTTCTTCCCTAGAGGGGCGATTCTCACATATTTAGCTTCACATTTTAATATACAGGTTTGTTGGCTCTTATTTTTTGACGGTCATTTTGTACTGTTTCCCCATCGTTCTACTCGACGTATCTAATATGGAATGTTGTCAGCTCAGAAGAGGGTCAAAACTCATGTACTTGACAAATACGCAACTATGTGCCTTCCCTAAAATAAGTTGCATGCTGGCTATTTAGTGTTTTACTCACGTATGCACAACGGCGCTTATAACCCTCACTATGCAGATACCCCACCGGCAACGTCCTGCAATACGTGAAATAGGTCCAGCGTTTATTTACTCAACTTCATTCGAAAATGATCAGCATGGTGCCATGCTGACAGAGACAGTTGACAGTTGCCACGAAAATATTCAGTTACGGGTAAAAAATAGTTTAATGCACTAGTTCAGAGATCGATTCATCGACCATAGTTCAAAAAATCTTCAGCTTCAACGCTTCTGTTCGAAGGCTGCACGCGGTGCAGCCTGTGTGTACAATGATTGTTGGTAACTTCTGGTGAGTGTGGCCCCATAGAGTAACCGATTTAGTTTTCCTTTTTTTAACAGTTCACGATACTACTATATCACATCTATCTGGTCAACTCCTTGCATGGTGAGTTTGCCGGTTAAAATCACCATGTGACAGTTTAACGTATGATCTTTTTTGCTACTGTCCCAAGGAGAAAGTTTTGCTATTTTCAGTCACGTTTTAAAGTAGCCACTGATCTGCTCTTCCTACCTAAAACTAAAGCGTTCAATTACATCGTGTCTGATAGGTCGGAAAGACTACATTCGCGCTGCCGTACAAGGCTTCTTAGGAATGGCTGAGACGAGGCTGCGACGGACATCTCTCTGAACACCATTTGGATGATTTTTTCTCATCACAAACGCTGAATAGGTTGCTAAATTCTGTGAGATTCCAAACCACTTTCACAAAATTCTGGTTGTCGTCCGAATGAGTTCAAAATCCGTTTTGACTTCCTTGAATGAATCTATAAAACTGCGAAATTACAGTATGTAGAAATATACTTTATGTGCAAGTCAGCCCAAAGCGGCCAGTAATCACACCGATTACTTACAAACGCTCTCCGGTCACAGTAGTGTTCTATAAGGCAACAGGAAACTGAATCGACGATAAAATAAAAGCAGAACAGTTGCTGACATGGATTCTGTTAGGCTCCATTCATACAGCCTCATTGAAGTTAAACATGCTTAGATATAAAAAAGCTGGAGAGAAGAATTTGTCCACCAAATAAACACACACAGCAGAGTTGTCACAAAGCCTCACTTATCTCTTATTTACGGGAGAGCAACATTGGGAGAAGGAGCCGACATCTATCAGGGTACGTGGTTAAACACGCTCGACAAATCCGTTAAGCAAAAGCACAGTAAATTCCGAAAGTATGTGGGTCAGGTCCTGACCTATGGATCTGAATTTTCAGTCCGCAGTCCACAGAAAAGCCGTCAAAAGTCTCGATTGTTGTATCAGTGTGCAGATAAAAACTTTAAATACCTGTGTCGTCGCACTAGTTCGTCCAGTGCGCAGAGTTTGCTTACACAAAATACCTGGTTTGCATAGTTAGCCGGTAACCGATCGTTCATTCAACACTTTGCTCCGAACGCTTTCTTATACAGATCCACATGTTTTACGTCGCACGGCCAAAGATGGCAAAAGGAACCACTCTATTGTCAGTGATAACCGGTTCTTTAGTGTGATTTTCTACCCGGCAAAGCTCCGGTGGAAACGAATTTCGAGCATCAATTCCCAGTCACTGCTATAAAACCATAAAATTGCACTGGAATAACAAAATGCGCTTTTCAAAAATCTCACAATAGGGGGACCACAGCTAGTGTACTTGCGTTCAGGGAGCCACAAAGGTACTTCTGTTGTAACATTCGTTATTGGTGAGATTTTGTAATATCGTTTTCCTTTCGAAAATGTGAATCGGCAGGCGTTAATAAAAATATACCGACATTGACTGTGATTAAGACCCGCTATGCTCGACTTTTAATGATGTGAATACTGACTAATGTGAGCGCATGTGTCATTTATATTAACGCATTGTGTTTAAATAAAGCATATGTGTGCTTTAGCGTCGACTTAAAGGAGAATATTTGTAGGATTCCAAAACAGAAGAAATTAGAAGACGACCAACATATAATGAATGTGTTTATTGAAACAGGCAGCTAAATGCACAACCACGTACCCGTTAATAATGGTTGGTACGTGGAAAGCTCTTAGACGAATGGTTTTCGCTATCGCGTTTTAAAATAGCGCCCACATGCAGCTATTAGCCGATGACCTCGTCCTTATTCAAGTTAATCCATAACAAACCACAGAGAACTAATTCGAACATGCAAACAAAACAGTTGTTATTGCATTGTAGCTCTTCGTTGTTCAGCATCGATAACACTGGATGGATGGCTATTAGTTATGTACAAATCGGTCAGTTTATCTGGCATTAAAAGGATGTCTATCATACGGGTGGGTTGGATAATTCCTGGATCAAAAATCAGTTAGATGTTATTCAGTACACCGTACATGCTTTAGTTTTGGTAGCAAAATGGAGTTAATTGGTGAAGCCCTTGAGTGTGTTTAGCAACACGGACAACAACCTTTCTTTTTCTTTTCCTCCACTATCTTGTACACAACATATTTATTGGCGCCGCCATCACAGCTGTAACTCAGATAGGATCCGGGAAAGTGTTCATCGCTTGAATCCAAGATGGCTCGTCCATACCATCGTGGGCCAAGTGTTTCATCTAGTTGTACCAAAGTGGGCGGCATGCTTGAGTCAGGATTCTGAACACAATATTGCTGTTTGATTATCAACAGAGCTTCATTTTTCATCGTTTCTGACATATTGGTTTGGTAGAAAACCACTTGGGATTTTTTTACGGCAACCTCCCTAGAAGGAAATTAGGGACAAAGCGGACAACGGGATTAGATTTGGCTAAACCCGAAACATGAAAATTGCAAGATACCATTGTCTGATGTGACCAGTCTGTTCAACCGATATGATGTCATGTGACACAGAATAAACTGATAAGAAAGTTACCCCGGTACCAACCACGCCTTTCGCTGTGGATCTGCTCAAGATCGACTGAATTGTTACACAGCTGTCAGAAAAGTAGATTTATAAGCTACTGAGGTAACAAAAGCGACATATATAGGGAAAGGTTGATAAATCCACGAAAAAACGTAAACTTAACCGTGTCTCCTATTGGTTAAAAGATATGAAATATGACGACCCATTTATGAATCTTTTCCATCTTTTAGTGCAAAGTCCTGATGACATTTTGATCCGCATTTCTCTTCACTGCTGGTGCTTAGAAAGGAGGGGAGGGCTTCGCAGTACCTCTTCAATTTTGCTTGCAGGATGGAATCCTGTAGGTATAGAAAGTCAACGTTTCCCTTTCCAGAATTCCATTCGAACTAACGCCTGTTGAGCTATATACGAGATTGTTTTCTCAGTGGACTAGGACTGCTTAGAAATTGAGCTCTTTTATCACTTGGACCGGCGTGAGCACAGTGCACATAGGTTCACTATGCCATTTTGATTTTTTGTCTATCAGTATTCTTTTGTCTATCACGTTAACAGACGCAGGAAGGTTACAGATACAGGGTTCTAAGTCAGCAGCTTTTTGATATCAATATGAAGCATGTGAATGTGTGTTCATTTTCCGATTATACTTTCCACCACAGATGACCAGGTAAGTCAAACCACAAGCAAGGCTGATTGACCACGTTTATCATTTGAGTCAACACTTTGGATTTGCTCAATAAACTACAAGGTTACGGTGTTTCAGACGTATTCAATGTGAGCAATTTGTTTTGTGTGTGTTTGTGACTTCACAGCGTCACGAAACAGAGACAGAATGTCTAGTTGGTCCGAATTAGATGTCGCTGGGGTGCGCACTAACTGGTGACACAGGCAAAGTTGTAAAGTGAAAACTTGCGTTTAGTCAAGTGTATTATTGCAGTACAAGTGAACTTCCAGCAGCATTTCGACAATGCTGAAGATTCCTTTAGCATATGGTCGGTATCGTCTTCTTTACAGATTTTCAATGGAACTCGTCAGAATATTCGAGAAGGAGGGCATCATTCAAAAGAAGTTAACAAATAACCGATATCTGAATATAATCGAAGGTGCAATCCAAAGTTTTGACTTACATCCGTTTCTTTTTGCTGATCCCTAGGGTTGCACAAAAATGTTCGTATGTGATTTGTCCTGTATTATTTGGATCAAAAAGTTTCCTCCACCGCTGGAAATTAAATAAAAAGTGGGAAGTTAAGCCTGATTTAAATGCTTTTAAATTGATTAAGAATTGTCATTTACCACTCTGTCATCCCGACTTTGTAACAGTTAGCGAGGAGAGCATCAATGTCTTCACTACCCACCGGGGGTTTCCCATTCCATATTTCAAAAAACCAAGCAGAAATTTCAACTTATTATACGGCTGTTTAATTTTAAGTATGCGTAAATCTTTTGTACTAACCACGTGACTGTAATGAGAAAAAGCACAATATTTCCGGTCACTCTTTTACCACGGGGAGATATAAGTAGTGAAATGTATTTCACAAAACCATGTGTATGAATGTATCAATATAACAGAATAGTAAAATAGTGCAGTGAGTCGTGAAAAACTTCATCAGTACTCTGAATCTTGTAGGTCTTCTACAAAAATCCGGAGGTGTGGCAACTGCATTATATCCATTTTTATCAGTGCCCAGAACAAAAATCAACGTCTAGTATCTCGTTAGCGAAATAGTCAGTAATCCTTCATCTTACATGTAGATTTCTACTTCATTCTTGGCGTTTTGTATGAGAGATACCTCCCTCTATTCTTGTTAGAGGAAGCTTAAGATGGGGCCAACTGCTTTTTTTTGCAAACAGGCTGCCTGTAAAGCTTAAAAAATGGATATTTCAGAAGAGCATTAGAGCAAGTGACGTAAAACTCGTGATATTTTCGTATAGAACCACTTCATTGTGCAGATCTTTCGTACATTGCATGATATCTTCAGCTGAAGACAGGTAGATAGATAGATAGAAATATAGAAAGGTAGACAAATAGAAAGATAGATAGATATAGGCGGATTATAGGTGGATTAAATGAAGGATGGATATTTGACCAGGTGCTAACTTAATGGCGGGATATCTGTGAAGGTAAAAGAGGAAAAGCCTTTTATGGTCGGTAATTCCTTTTTGTAAGGATTTTCAATGCAAATGGTCGAATTTTCTACAGTGTTTTCCTTGCAGCTTTTATTTATTCAATTTTTCCCTCAAAAGCGGTGCTATTTTCAAAATATCACTGACCAGTGGTGGTATATTTTACAAATCAACATGGCTTGGCATTTCATGCTTCTGGTATGGCCTCTGGAAATTTGTAAACGTGTGCAGTTGTGGATATGAAACTTCTTCATTCTGAGAACGAATTTCAGGACAGTCACAACGAGTATTTGAGTATTAGCACAAGCAATGACTAAGCCACTTAAACGAAAGTGCTACAACCATCTATCATATGAACTCCTTATAACGGTGTATAATATACGGTTAATTCAGGATGTATCAGTGAAACGGCACATGTCAGTGCTGGATCGATAGACTGGTCTTGAATGTCCGGAAAGATGGCCTCAGAGATGATGATTATGTTTCGCTTCAAAGACAGCAGAGATTTTTATAATACGATTGCAAACTGTCAGGTACAGAACCGTCTGGACTCAGCAGAGAGGATAACACGTGAACGTATAGCCGTTTCTACCGGAGATAGCGGATTTCTGACGAATGTTGCATGTAATCAATGGAGAGAATACTGGGAAGAGTTTGGTAAACGATGAGGGTATCTTTGGTCAGCTAGCAAACTGGACAAAGATTCAAAACAAAAGATTCAAAATAGAAGATTTAAAACAGAAGATTTAAAACGTTTTATCAATTCCATGTGTATAAACCGAATTACTTGGTCACTTATCAGCTCGATCATTTGTTACACTCTCCCCCTATAAACAGTGATGCGGAAAAGATGAGTACTGGCCGAGCACTGCGAGCATTCCTTCTAAGGAAACAGCCGCGCCGAAAAGTCATGATGCAAGAAAGTAAGGAAACGTCTTTGAATGTTCTTGGTAGATCAATTATTCGAAGGAAAAAGCAATGAACTTACAGAGAAAAGACACAAAAGACAATAAATGCGAACTTTGTTTCAATAGTTGTGAGATTTTCACCCCCCCCCAAATACCCATATAGAGTGAGACAGTAGCGTTACTTGCGATATACGTCCTAAAAGAGGGAAGCCATGGATGACCAACGGACATTAACCCGTTTAGCTCTATCGTATTTCGGTAACATCAGATCTCTGAGAGTGACTTAGTCATGTCCGGTGAAAAGAGCTTCCAGCACAATGCTACACTTTGCGAAGTTGCAGAAAACGATTCATTTTCAGTTATTCCGCCAGGTGAAACCCGCTGGAGGTTAAAAAGGAAGTTTTCATTACCGGAAGCTGATGTCATTTAGGATTCAAACGAGTCTGTCGCATAACAATGTCCCGTTAATTTAGGAAAACAGTGTTTTAAAAAACAGCTCATGACACCCTGAATCACGTCGATGATGCTCAAATTGAGTCAGTGGTTCAAGAATGTGGGTCAACTGAGCCGGCTGATTCACTGCTTAACAAATAATTGCTAAAAAGTTTGTCATACTCAAATGATACACGCCGCTGGAGATGGACCAACTTTTCGACAACATTGTGGTGAACAGGAGGGAAATTATTTCGGAGGAAACGTTCTATAGGTGGCTGTTCTTATCCACATCAATACATATTTGCTCCTTCCCTGAGATTTGACCCTACCCAACCCCTGTCTTCACTCTTTTGCGCTGTACCTTTTGGAGTATATGTTGAAGGAAATAATCGCGACATCTAAACATCTGTAATACTATGGATACAAGACTACCAGATGTTCTATTTCAAGAGATGACATCTACCTAGGGTTACTCAATAGAAATGATAAAGGAAATGTCAGCTATGTAAGGAAAAACAAGTAGTTGTTTTATTTGTAATGTAATACTCATAAGGTTGTTGAAAATTTGTCGACAGCCCACGACCGGTTTCGCCCTTCTTGGGGCTCATCAGGTAGACGCAATCCCCGAGTTTCCGTCAACCTTATGTTCTACTTGAAAACAAATTGCACGGAGTTAGCGAAATGCACTCATTCACAAACTAATTTGGTTTTGTATTTCTTTGGTAGAACGAACGGGTCAAGGTTTAGGTGGAGGATGTGCCGTTGTTAAAATATTCCACACATATCTGTCAGGATAAATGAAACTATTGTTTCATGGGTCCTAATACGTTAACAACAATACCACAATGACGTTTTTCACAGAATTAGCGTCAAATACTAAGTTTAAAGAGAATGAGTAAGTGCGAGAAGAAAAACATTTCACTGTAATTCGAGAAGTGGACGTGAAAGAAGCAGAAACGTTTGGATTTGTTATGGAAAGCGTTCTTAAAATTTCACCTTTTCCAAGAAAGCGGTCTCAGTGTGGTAGAAAATGAAGAATCTTGAGATAAATCAGGGCAAACTGTTTTGCCTCTTGGCTAATGAGGAATATATTTCGCTCTTGAGAATTTCTTCATAAATTATTTACCAATCGGACGGATTTGAAAATGTAGAGAAATATTTAGTCTCTTTGAACTGAGACTTTTGGCTCATAGTTGATGTGAATTGGGCTGTTGTGCTACTGTGAAATTTGAACATCGTACTACGCACAGTAAAAGACCGAAAGAATGTTTTAGGATTATTGCAACTTGAAAAAACAGTCACATATGGTCCTTCTAAAGCTGTGGTGATATTTGAAAATAATGAGCAACGTCTTTCCCCTTTAAATGGCCTCTGAAGCCGAAATCTATCATTAGTTCGTGGATCGATGAGTGGAGGATCGTCAGGATGAGTACTGGGGCGATACCGTTACCGCTGTTAGGTTTTCACAGAGAAGAATGTAGATTTTTACTGAATCGCGCAACTTGGTTCTGAGATCGCATATCCATATATGCTCTCTACTTTGCAGCGTACATTGGTTTAATCGGAACTAGACGTTGTGTAAAAACTAGAGTGTAAGTAGTCCTGTCTTGGGTTCACTGCATCGTTCCCTTGCGTGTTCGTTGTTTATCTTCAGCATAATTTTGTGTTGCCGAAGACCGAAATTTGGTAAAAATTTGATGTGCTGTTGGGTAGTGAAACTGTTGTGTGTGGGTACACAGTGTGTGAAAGATGTTACTTCAACAAAGAATCTAGACAAAGAATGTATGGCCACGTTTGATACACCTCCTGCGATTCCCAGGATTGTTCAGCATTGTTTGCTTTATTTTTTAATCGTAAAAGTTCGGTGAATTTAGTAAGACGGTGAATGTCAGGTAAAAGTTAAACTGATACATGTGTTTGTTACTGTATGTACGCAGAGTATAGTTTAATGTCTACTAACGTCTAATAGAGGACGGGAATCTCAACCCCGGATTCAGAAAACTCTGTCTTAAAGGCCACAAACAAGTTTGTGCCATAGACACTTTATGGGATCTATTAGAGTTGATGTCTCGATTGCCGAAGTACCTTCACTTCCTGATTAAAAGCACATATTATCAACATTGACCGGTAAGCTGTGACCGGTTCCCTCATATTCTGGATTTCATCACATATTGTTAGGTCACACTTGGACGAGATGTAAAATGAATATGCTGTATAAAAATCGTTCAGTCGAAGGTGGGACGCAAAAGGCCCTACTTAACAGTGACTAGAAATATACGCATCGTGTACAGTTCAATACCACCTACTGTCGGTGGCTCAAACGTCGGAAAATGAAAGCGCAATTCGAACTGAATAAGTGACACATTGGTTTGATGCGGTCAACGAGACGCTTCTCACCTCTTCCGATTCCACATCTTGNACATCTTGTTGAGTTCCCTGCCTGTCTAATAATCGGGTTGATGTCGCACTCTGAAAAAAGACACCAAGTATTCTGTCTGCTTGTTCACAAACAGGTACGGTACATTTTCGCTAAGAGAAAAGTTGATGCTTTACTGCAAATCTTGACAGTTCACACATGTGCCATTTGGGGATTAAGACAAAAAGCTGTTTAGAGAACGCAAACACAAACCAACTTTTGGTGACTTAAATGAACCCCTGGTAGTCTATCGTTAGGTACATTTTCAGCTTTTGTGTATTCTATCAATCACTGCACTGATTTCCACACTAGAATAAGGTTGATTATATTAGAAAC